CCGAGTGACGCCCCCTGCAGCCGCGGCCTCCGCAGCCTCGGGGGATCCTGAGGACGGCCGCCCGGCGCGACTCCCTCGTGCCGTCCGCCGCGGGGCCCTGCGCGCCTGTGGCCCGCTGGTAATGGACGGTCCAGTCACGTCCGCGTGGGTCCGAGGGTCTCGCGTCCCTGGAGGATGATGACCTAGCACCGGGAAGTCCCCCCGGACGCCCTGAACCGACCTGGCCCTGGTGGCACCCGACCTGCATCCGCGCTGCCCTTCTGGACGCTCCGCACCCGAGGGAGGGTGCGCACCAGGCACGCCTTTCTGGAACTCACCTTTAGTACAATCGTTTCTTTGCGAAGAAGGGATTTCCTTTATTGGGGGGAGGGGGGTTATTGACTTTCTTTTCGGGACGGGAATTTGGGGGACAATAAGGAGAATACTTGGCTACCCGCGACTTTGTAGGGGGCTAACGGACAGCCGGCCGGGAGCAGAGGCGCCGATTCCAGGATGGATGTGGCCGACCCGCAGCAGTTGGGCATGTTTACGGAGGGCGAGCTGATGTCGGTGGGGATGGACACGTTCATCCACCGCATCGATTCCACCGAGGTCATCTACCAGCCCCGCCGCAAGCGAGCCAAGCTCATCGGCAAATACCTGATGGGGGATTTACTCGGGGAGGGGTCTTATGGCAAAGTGAAGGAGGTGCTGGACTCGGAGACCCTCTGCCGTAGGGCTGTCAAAATCCTCAAGAAGAAGAAGCTGCGGAGGATTCCCAACGGGGAGGCGAACGTGAAGAAGTAAGTGTGGCCGCCCTGCCCCATGGTGGGCGGCATGGGCCTGTCCCTCTCTCCAGAGCCTCAGCGGACCACCCGGTCCCACCCGCCTTGCCAGGGAAAGTGTGAGTCCTGCTCTGAGAACTTTGACCAAGTTAGGGTAGCTTGTTGCAGCTGGGCCGTCCACGCAGTGGACTTGGGCAGTGTCAAAGCCCACCTCCCAAGAGGCCCACCGTCTGCCCGCCCGGGGAGAACTTAGGTGCCAGTGCAGCCAGCCAGTGAGGTTTGTGTTCGCGGTTACCAGGGCAGGCCAGGCACTCTGCAGCTTGTTTATCCTGTTGGAGGGAACCTTGCCATGGCCAAAATTAATAGTTTGCTCCAGTTTATCAGCCGCCAGGGGTGGAATGTGGCCCTCCCCTCTCTCCCTGGGAGGGGGTGCTAGCCTTTCCTGAGTTCCGGCCTGAGGCGCCCAGGAGGGGATTGGCTCTGCGTGAACTTTTCCAGTTGGCATCCCAAGACATCAGGTTTGCAGGGGAGCGGCCTCTCGCCCGGGCCCCTCCCCGGGAGTGGAGAACTTGCCTGCCTGCCCTTGCTGATTCCAGGAGGGGCTTTCCTCCTTATCGCTGCCACCCTGGGGGCCCCACCCCTGCACTTCTCCAACCTGGTTTCCAAGAAGGGCTCTATCTCACAGGCCAGAGGCAGGACTGCCTGTGACCTTGGACAGTGCTGTGGCTCTGAGCCCTCCAGGGGAGGTGCTGCCCGTATCTGCTTTCACCTTCCTGACCCATCCGCAGAGCGCTGCTGCTCTGGGATGCTTTTGCTCTGGAACGACCGAGGGTGGTGATGAAATTGGGATAGAGTGGAGAGCTGAAACCAGCCTGACATGGGCCCCTGAGGCACACCAGCTGGGCCTGGGGGGGCACCGTGGGTTCAGCAAGAGCGGGGAGGTGCACTTACGGTCTCCGTGCCCCAGCCTGTGGGCCCGGGGGAGGCTGACAGTTCTTTGCCCTCTTCTCTAACGTGAGGTGGGACTTGAGCGGGGCCACCCCCGTGCAGGGGTATTCTGGGTGGGGGGTGGGGACTATCTCCCCTCATTCAGAAATGTCTACTCATCTGCCGCCTCCTAAGTTGCGTTTCTAGTGAAGCTGGAAGCTGATGGGGTGAGGGACCCTGAGGTTGCCAGTTTGCCATCGCTGCAGAGATCAGTGTTGGGGGCTGGGGGACAGTGAGGGGGAGCGCAGCATCGTGGAATAGACTTCCACTCTCTCGGGCCGTCTTCTTGCTGCCTCCTCGTCCTCACCCCCGATCACCCAGGCATGGAGTGCCGGGCTGTGCTGCCTGGCTGTGCCCCCTGGCTGCTTGGCACTCCTGAGGCATCATGTGGGTCCCCTGAGTCCCACGGAGGGACTGAGTGCCAGCACCTCTCCCCTGGTCGTGGGCTGTCCGGCTAGAGTTGCGCGAGTTCCCTTCTCCGGCCCGCTGGATTTCAGCGCCGGCTGGTGGCCGCAGCAGTGGTGGCTGCGGTGGGTTCGCTCAGACGTCCACTGACCTCACCACATCAGAGGGTGGGGTCAGGGCAGGCAAGTGACCGCCTAACTCAGGTACCTGCGAGAAGTGCATCTGGTCACGTGGCGCAGAGCGAGGTCTACAGCTGTGCATGCCCAAGGTCAGCTTAGAGGACGTCTCACCTCCCAGCGAGTCCTTCGCGCTCCAGGGGACAACAAGTGACTGGAACCTGCTTGCCGGCTGCAGGATGGCGCCGTCGGGAGGTCTGAGTGGCGCGCGGCCGGGCTCAGGCTGAGGGAGCCCTGTCCCGCAGCGTGTGCTGAGGAAGCGGCGTGTGGCTGACTTTATCGGCTCAGCCTAGATTCGGGGCTCCGTTTTCTAGGTCCCCCTGGAGTGCAGACTGGCCCGTGCTGCTTGTTTCCCCGTCCTGGCACTAAGAGGTGACAAAGCGCCCTGAACACACTGGGACCTGAGCCCTGAACTCCAGGGGAGTTGCTGCGAGAGGTTTACTAGAACCTTCCAGCAAGCTTCAGGGGTCCTCCGGTTGGAAGTGGAGGCTTTTTTCTTGAAGAACAATGTTTGCCCAGCACGTCATAGTGCCCCTCGCGGCAGGGCTGACGTGGGTCTGTCGCGCCCCGTTGTCAGAGCTGCCGATCGCCATAAAACAGCCGTTCTGCAGGGCGTCGTGCCGCCGACAGTGTGTACTCGGTGATTTTGCTGCTGACGTGCTTTGCCACGCTTCCTTCAAAACTTAAGATTTTAACCTATTCAAGCACTTTTTAATGAAATATGAATCTCCAGTAAGGATCATTTCAAAAAATGTCATATTCGCTGGGTCTTTCTGTGGGCCGTGGAATCACTTGATGGCGGTCTGGAAGCTGGAAGGGCACCGGGCGGCTCCCCGGCTGTCCAGCCGTGGGGTGTCCCTCCTGCTGCCAGGCCGCCAGGCGACCTACTTGGAGCCTGCCTGGGGATCGGGGTGGCAGAGACAGAGCTGCCTGCCGACACCCCTTTTACAGTCCCCTTCCAGCTGGCACTGGCCGCAGGATCCGTGGTAAATGGCTCCAGTTCTCGGTGCCTGTCCTGCCAGCTGGGGCAAGAGGGGCAAGACCCAGCCCAGGACAGCCGGCGCCACTGGGCATTAACTTCACAGACTTTTCACATCCAGAATACTTTCCTTTGTGGGCTTTCCCGCTGGCCGCAGAGGTGGCACAGTCGTCGGGCTGTGGCCCTCGGACCCCGCTCTGCAGCCTTTCTGTCTGCTCTGGGAGCTGGAAGGGCACCGGGTGGTGGGCCCACGGAGGTGACAGTGCCGCGGTGCCGGCAGGCCTGCCCACACGGTGGCCCTGTGTGTCGGGGTCCATCGCCTGGACCGATGGCCGCAAGCAGCAGGGCCCTTCCCGCCTGCACGTCATGGCTGTGTGCAGGTGACTGAGCAGTGGCTGCTTGGGCGCGTTGTTTTGTACCCACATGGCGTGACAAGCTGGAGAGGGTACTTGAAGGGCACGTCCTGGAGGTGGGATTCTGGGTGAACGGGGCCACGTGTGCCTGATAAGCTGTTATCAAGCCCCCGGGTCCCTGACTTACACCCCCCCCGGTGTCCTGCTGAGGTCCTGGTTGCCAGTGTTGCCTCGTGCCTGCTGTGTTGACCGTGCTGATAAGAGCTGCGTCCGTGCAGGGGAAAGCGACAGAATTTGATGCGCGTGGCCACTCAGGCTGTCACCGCTCCTTGGCATTCCAGGGGCTCCCAGGAGCTTTGGCCGTCTGTCCCCAGCCAGGGTTCTGTTGGCTTGTATGGGTTTCCCGGCTGGGGCTTGGCTGGCCTGACACCACCCACTGCCCACCACCCAGCCCACCCCTGGAGTGATCGGTAGGCGCTTGGACCTGGGTGGCAAAGGGTTGGCATTTTAGTGTCGAGGATCAGAGCCCTGGACCCTCTTGGCACTGCTCCCGTCCAAGTGACCTCGCCAAGGTCTGGCATCCGCTAGGGCACTTCCCCCTTATATTGGGAAGGATTCTCTGTCAGGCCCAGGCTGGCCGCCACAGTGGCAGCAAGGGGGCCTTGGCTGGGCTGCGCTGGGCGGCTCTGCCTGCGGCTCCTCACACGAGGGCCTCGGTCCTCCGGTCCTCCTGACAGGCGTGGGCCTGCTTCTGAAACTCAGCTGGGAATACACGGGGGTCCCAGCCGAGGCCGCCCTTTCTCCCGTGGCTGTCATGTGACTGAAGTTTGGTTTATTTTTTTAATGGCTTTATTGAGATGCAGTTTATATAACATAAAGCTCATTAGTGCTTAATTCTGTGGCATTAATTACAGTCAGAGTGTCACCTCTAATTCCAGAACATTCCATGCCTGTTGAGGAAATCCTGTCCCACCAGCAGCCACTCCTCCCGGTCTCAGCCCCTGGCACCACAAATCCACTTTCTGCGGCTGTGGCTGTGCCCGTCCCAGATGTTTCTAGAGTGGATCACGCTGCGTGGCCTCGGGCGTCTGGCTTCTCTCCCGAGTGTCGTGTGTTCAGGCCCCTCCAGCGGTCGCGAGGGTCGGAGCTGCCCCCCTTTTCATGGCCGGTGGTGTTCTCATGTGGGGGGGCCGTGTCTTACCCCTTCAGCTGAGGGACACGGGTTGTTTCCACTTCATGCCTTCTGTGGCTGCAGCGCTGTGTTTGTGTCTCGCAGACCCCCGGGTTCAGCCCTCCTGCTGCCTGCTCAGAAGCCGCAGCAGGGCCAGTGGCCAAGGGGTGAGAGCTGCTTGGCATCGCTGCCCGCCCTCGGGAGCCTGCCCTTCAGTGGGTCCGCCCCGCCCGAGGCGAGCAGGCAGCCGGCACCCTGCCGGCCAGCCCCGCCAGCCCCCACCTGTCCGGGTGCCCGTGTTCGGCCGTTTCCCCCAAGTCTGCGTGACTTCACGAGCCTGTTCTTCCGTTTCCCTGCTGGTTAGTCAGCAAGCTGACTAAACTGTCGCTTTGCTTGGGCAGCACCTGAGGGTGGGCGGGGCCTGCTGTCCTGCCCCGTGTCAGCTGGGCCACCCGGAAGCCCTGCTTCCTCTCCTCCGCTTCCTGCATCCTGGCTGGCGCTGACTTGTCCTTTCTTGTAAATATTGTTTTTCTTCCCTAACTAGAAGCTTGTAGGAGTTGTGGTAGGAACCCCGCCAGCCCAGAGGTCGCGTCGCCACTCTCCGACGTCCTCCACCAGTGTTCTTGCTCGTGGGCCTGTCCCCACCGCTGTCCCTGCCCAGGCTTGTGGCAGGCCCCCCGGTGGAGACCGCCCGGGGAAGGCGAAACGCAGGCGCCCACATCGGCGAGGCGATGCTACCGAGCGGGCGCCGCTTTCAGAGAACCCCCTCGTGACGTCAGCACAGGAGCTGTAGCCACAGCGGAGAGGCTGCCTGAGCGCGGCTGCGGCCCCCGCGGCCACCTTTCTGGGGAGAGTGAACGCTGGTGCCACCCATGGGGGCAGCCACGCCTTGAGGGCTCCCAGCCAGGACGCCTCCAGATGTGAGACTGCAGAGTCATGGCCTTTTGGGGAGGTGGGGGGTTCCCCGCTTCTGAAGCTGCCCTGAGGTTTCGTTGGCGCCTTTGTGGCGTTCAGAGCTATTCCCAGGCGGCCTCTGTGGCCAGCCCTGCTTCCCTGCCCCAGGCCAGAGTTGATTGTACCTAAAGGCTCCGGACGTTTCCACAGCTGGGAGGTTGCCATGTTTGACGAAGCGGCTGGGTCTGAGCTGTTCTGATGTGTTGGGGAGTTGGCTGACTGTCCCCAGTCCCTTGTGAAGTTCCAGGTGCTGGACCTTGAAGTTGGGGGTCTCCTTCATGGCCCATCCCTCAGTCCCACTCTGGTGTCTGGGGCCTTTTGGGGTGTTCAGGTATTCGGGGATGCGGCTGAAGCCCCGTCCGGTGATCTCCCCTCGGGTCCTTCGGGGCAGGCAGCAGGGCATGGGGACAGCAGGTGCAGACAGTGGTGTCCACGACCCGGGGACACCCGTGCTGGGACACCCGGAAGAGCTGGCGTGCGCCGCATCCGGGCCAGCTGTACCTGGAGCATCTGAGGCGCTTTGCACACATGCCATGCCAGGGAGCATCTGGCAGTGACCCCAAATGCTGGCCTGGGTGCTGCTGTTGCAGCTAAGGCTTGGCCAGGCCTGACTGTGACTTGTGTCCGGAGAGGAGCAGCCGCTCAGCTCAGCATGGGGGGGTTCCCCAGGTGATTGCAGGGCTACAGAATGACCCTCTTGGGAGAGGGAAGAAGGTGGGTTCTGTGGCCGGGGGTGGGTAGCCCCCCACACTAAGCAGGGTCAGGGTGCAGATCCTCCCCCCTCCCACACTGACGGTGAGAGGCCCCAGGGATAGGGCCAGAGGCCAGCGCAGTCATTGTGAGCTGGTGCCCGGGCCTCAAGGCCAGCACTGTGGGGGGTTGGGCCTGTGAGGGGCGCGGCTGGAGGGCTCTGCGCCCTGCCTCTGGGGGCACCTTGACCCTTTACAGCAGGTCTCACCTGCACCTGTCCTGTTCCTGGGGACACGGTCCAGTGGGGAGACACCTGTGGCTGTCATGGCTGGGGGTGTTTTCGGATGTCAGTGGTACCGAGTGGAGGGGCCCTCTCGCATCTGGACAGCTGTCTGTCTGTACACGGACAGAATAGATGCAGTTTCATCATGCAGATGCCTCTCCTCTCGCATCCCCACGGCGGGTGCAGTAGAATGTGGCGAGTGTGGCTAACTTTGGGGTGGTAGGAAACCAAGGCAGAGTTCTCCTGGCCTCTGGGGACCCCCTGGCTGGGGCGGTGCTCTCAGCAAGCTGGTGAGGCAGCAGCTGCACGCCCCTCGTCCGCCAGCGCGTGGCTGCCTGTGCGCTGGGCCTGGGGTCTCCGCTCCCAGGTTTCCAGTCTGTGCTGGGTATAATTCATATGCCGTACGACTCAGGGACACTTAGTGCATTGATAGAGTTAGGAGAACAGCACCCCGTCTTCCAGAACATTCCATCCGTAAAAGAAACCTCGCTCCCATCAATAACCACCTCCATTTGTCAGCACCACAAACCCGCTCTCTGGCTGTGCCCGTCTGGGCGTTTCTCACCATGGACCCACTTGTGTCTGGCTTCTCTCCCAGCGCCCCTCCCTGGGGTGCATGTTCAGGCCCCTGGGGGGGGGCCTCTCCATGCCCGGATGGGCCGGATCCCTTTGTGGGTCCCTTCATCCAGTGATGGACTTCCGGTTCAGGGAGCACCCTGGAGTGGGCTTGTAGCTAAGCTGGTAACGTGAGCTTTTTGAGGGCGTGGCCAGCTGTTCCCTTCTCTGGCTTTGAGGGCGCTCCTGCTCCGACTGCAAGGGGGAGGGCCGGGCAGACCCTCTGCGGGGTGGTCAGCCCTGGGCCTGACCCTGACCTTGGTGTCACGCGTGTGGCAGGTTCTACTTTCTCCCCAGGCCTGAACCTGGGGCAGCCTGTCCTTTCCTGGGCGCCTGGAAACAGCTGCCCTTCTTGTGGGGCCTTGGGGTCCTGGGTAGGCGGTGCTCCCTGGCCGCCCTCACGGGAAGGAGCCCCGGCCGGGGTGTCTGCGTCGTCCTGGCTCCCAGGGGGCCCCTTCTGGGGCCCCGGCCCTTGCCGGTGTGCTTCCTGCTCTTTTTCTCAAAGTGAAGCTGTTCGTTTTTCTTAAAGTCTCAAATGGTGTCCTGGTTGAGCTGCCCCGTGAAAGCCCCTCCGGCCGGGGGAGCAGCCCTGGGGGGCTGTTGGAAAGGCTGCCGCAGTGGCGCAGCTCCTGTGGGGGCCGCCAGGAGTCCTCGCGGGCTTTGGGGCCCGGGGCCGCTGAACAGCAGGCGCCGGCCGGCCCAGGTCTCCGCCACCTGTGCGTCTGCTCTCGCTCCAGGGAGATTCAGCTGCTGCGGCGGTTGCGGCACAAGAACGTCATCCAGCTGGTGGACGTGCTGTACAACGAAGAGAAGCAGAAAATATATCCTTTTGGGGTTGGCCTGCGCTGCGCTGTGGGGCCTGGTCAGGGCGTCACTGCCCCTGGCCACCCACCTTGTGCTCCGAGCGGGAGACAGGCCCGGGAGGAGGCTCCCTGTGCGGTGTAGGTGACGGCCACGCCCAGAGGGTGGGGACTGGGCCCCTCGGCCTGGCCCGGCGGCACAGCAGCTGGCAGCTGGCAGCGGAAGCCGTTGCCTCGGCCCCTAGGCTCGGAGTGTCCGTTTGCAGCTGTCCCGGAATCACCTCGGCAGGCCCGGTGCTGGCTCCAGGCCCCCCTCCTTGCACCGGGGCCCCGCCTTTGTTGCCCCCTCTGGAGCCGGGCACCCGTCCCTCTGCCCTTGGTGGTTGGCCTCGCCTCGCCCGTCCAGGCGCCCTGCTCACTCCTGCCCAGAGTGCAGCCGCGCAGGCCGCGCCATCCTGAGAGGGAGTGCGGTGCGCCAGCCCGGAGCACCCGAGGCCTCGCCCCTCCCTGCAGGAGGGCGCGAGTCTCTTCCAGGCTCGCGGGGCAAGCTCCTGCCACCAAGGTGCCTGTGACGGCTCACTGGAGCGTCCGTGGCCCTCCGCCTGCCTCGGAGCTGGCCCTGGTGGGCGGTGCGGCCGCACTTCTGTCCTGGGCTCGCCCCTCCGTCCCCCTGGCCTGGCTGACCCCTCCCACCCCAGGACAAACCCCGCCCGCCTCTCCGGGCCCCTCCCTGCTCTAGGCCCTTGTCCTCAGCCCCTGGTGAACTTGTACCCGTGGGTCCTTCTGCCCTGCCCTGTGTCCGGTGAGCCGTCCCGGCCATTCCCTAGGGCACGGCCCGAGCTCCTCCTGGGCGTGTTGACTGATGAGTGACTTGACACTAACCCTCGGGGGCTGAGGCCGGGCAGGGGGCCCTGGGGGTGGATTGGGTGAGTCCACAGACCGGGGTGAGGCTGGTGCCTGGCCCAGCAGCCCCTGGAGCTCCTGTGCAGTCCATGCTCCGCAGCCCGTCGGTCACTGCACTGCGGGGCTCTCCACGGCCGTGTCCCAGCTGCCCCGTTGGGGGCTAGCGCTCTGGTCACGTGTGGCTCCCTTAGCGCAGCACGTATATGGTGATGGAGTACTGCGTGTGTGGCATGCAGGAAATGCTGGACAGCGTGCCCGAGAAGCGCTTCCCTGTGTGCCAGGCCCATGGGTGAGTGTGTGCCATGCCCGACTACTGCTGTGTCCTGGCTACCCACAGCCCGGGCTGCCGGGCTCCAGGCCTGTGTTCAGACACCTTTTTCTGACTATCGGTGAAGTGGAGTCTCAAGCGTGCTTTAAACACAGAGCGTTGCCTGATTTTCAGCGCCCCGCCCACTCTGTGGACCTTCCTGCCTCCGGTGCCCACCGCCTGAGGCCCCCAACCCCACTTGCCATCACTGCGGGGCCAGCTGGCCTGTGTGGGAGGGGAGGGGAGCTTGGGTTTCCACCGTGGGAGCAGTGATTGGGGGGTGTGGGCGGAAGGGCTGCCCAGTCGGAGCGAGCACAGCCCCTGCACACCGGGGAGTGGTTCACTGACCAGCAGCCCCTGGGTTCCTGGTGGGCCTCCTGCCGCTGCCCGGCCTGGCCTGGCCGACTCCAGGCTGGGCTGCCCGCCTTTGTCCTCCTGGGACGTTTCCCCAGGTGGGCGCGTCATGAGCTTTCCCCCACAGGTACTTCTGCCAGCTGGTGGACGGCTTGGAGTACCTGCACAGCCAGGGCATCGTGCACAAGGACATCAAGCCGGGCAACCTGCTCCTCACCACTGGCGGCACGCTCAAGATCTCTGACCTGGGCGTGGCCGAGGTGCGCGGCCCGGGCTGGCAGGCCCCCTGGGGGCTCTTCCCGCAGGGCCCCCACCCCAGGGTCCCCCACACGGCCCCCCCCCACATGCCCCAGAGCTGCCCCGGCAGCCCCCAGAGGCCTTGGTCTCTCCTGCAGGCTCTGCACCCATTCGCTGAAGATGACACGTGCAGGACGAGCCAGGGGTCCCCGGCGTTTCAGCCGCCTGAGATCGCCAATGGCCTGGACACCTTCTCTGGCTTCAAGGTGGACATCTGGTCAGCTGGGGTCACGCTGTAAGTACCTGTGCAGTCCTTCCTTTACCCATCCTGATGCTAGGCACACTGCTTGGGCTCCGAGGTTCCAGGATCTGCCGCATTCGTCCCCCAGGCTGCTCGGGGTGGCCAGAACCCGGGAGGGCGTGGAGCTGGGGCTGGGAACCCCTTCTGGGAGGAGTGGAAAGGCTGTCTTCTGCCTCCGGGTCACAGGTCAGTGGCTGGTGGATACGCCTGTGTCCTTGGCCTGCCTCTCAGGCGGTGGGGGCCAAGCTTGCCCCTGTCGACAGCGGTTTGCGTCCATGGCCTTGTTTGCCGTCCTGGGTGAGTGTTTCTCTCCCGGTGCCTTGTGCTGAGTCTCGGACAGCGAGTCTCCCAGCCAGACTTGCCTTGTCCGCTGCTTACTGAGGGCGCGTGCGCCACGTAGCCCCTGCTGAAGTGTGGGGTCCAGAATGTGCAGCCACCCCATTCCAGAACATTCCTGTCTCCCAGTCTGAGCCCCTGGAGGTGCGGGTGGTTTGAGGCTCCTGTCACCAAGCTGCCCCAGGCCAGCCAGGCTGAGGACCTGGGAATTGGGGCCTGGAGGACAGCCCAGCTCACCCCGTCTCTCTTCTGTGGGCACAAAGCTACAACATCACGACGGGCCTGTATCCCTTCGAAGGGGACAACATCTACAAGCTGTTTGAGAACATTGGGAAGGGGGACTACACGATCCCAGGTGACTGCGGCCCCCCGCTCTCAGACCTGCTGAAAGGTGAGACAGCCCTGGTGATGGCTGTAGGGGTGGGGGAGACGCCCCTAGGGAAGTGGCAGACTGTGGGTGTCAGAAGTGCTGCCAGGCCGTGAGGGGGCCGAGCCTTTCAGCTGCGCACCAGCGGGGTCTTCTCCTGCGCTCCCCAATCCCTGCCCCACATGTCGTCCCGCCCTCCCCACTCTGGTTGGGCGTGTTGCAGGTGTGGGGAGGGGCAGTGGGACTAGCGATGGCGGAGAGGGCAGGGGGGCTAACCCGACTGGCCCCCAGTTCTTAATCCCCAAGCCCAGAGGGAAATGGAGGCCAAGAGCCCTCGCTCCTCTGGGTCTCCTGAGACCACGCTCTTCCTGCTGCACTTTTCCGGCTGTAAGGCAGGTGGCAGTGTCTGCCCATGGCCGTGGCCCCTCCCCACGAGGGCCGGGTATTGGCCTGTCCCTTGGGAGGGCCATGCACCCACTCCTGGACATCCATGCAAGAGGGTCAGTCTGGAGCCTCAGCTGCTCTTGAGGTCTGGCGGGAACCGCGGGACACAGCCTGTGTTACCTACCGGAGCGCCGAGCACCGGCCAAGGTGTGATGGGCTCTTCAGTCACCACCCTGGTCCTGCCAGTGCTGTGCTCCGTGGCGAGACTGGTCATAAGGTCCACGGGCTGTGGGCGTGGGCCGGTAGTTAGACACGTGGCTTCCGGCTAAAAGCAGCTCCGGTTCTGAGCTGCTGGTTCACTTAAGGCCTGCAGGCCTGCCTCAGGGATGCAGTGCCCCGTGGCTGGGGGAGGCGATGTGTGGCCCCCTCCACATGTGGGCTGCCCCAGGGCCTCTGGAGAGTGGCCAGGCACAAGTCCCACCCCTGGTTATCCATGCGTCGTGGGTGGAAGTATGTATCTCGTGAGCCCCCTTGTGTCCCCAAGTTTTCACTGAAGTGCCTGGGCCGCATGCAGCCTCTGGTGCTTTCGTGGAGGCTTGTGGGTGTTGGGATGCCCAGAGTGCCGGGTGGACAGTCTGGTCCTGCCTCCTTATCTCACCCCAAGGGGCCTTCATCTTGTGGCCTCAGTTCTGCAGAGGGAGCCCTGAAGGAACTGCAAGACGTTCTGGGCTTTGTCCTTCCGACAGGCACGCTGGTGATTTCTCTGAAAGGCGCTTTCCTCGCTCTGTCCAGAGCCACCCTGTTCTCAGCGCTGCTCAGAGTGGCAGGGGCCTGTGGGGGGGACACCAGAAGGGTCCATGTGCTTGTCGCCCGGCACGGATGCGATAGACCCATCTCTTGGTCCTCCGCAGTGTTCACCTGGCGCCTAGGGTGGCCCTGCACAGCAGGGCAGTTGACCACTGAGCTGGTGGCCTGGTGGCTCTGTCAGCCAGGGCAGAAGGGTCACTTCTTGGGTCTCCCAGACCCCAAGGTCCACTGTCAGTCTCCCACCTTGCCTCGTGCTCAGAACCCCAGGTCTGCTTAGAGGGGGCATGGGCCAGTGACTGCAGGGGTGTGGCATGGTGATGCCGGTGCGGGGGCCCCCCGCCCCTCAGAACAGCAAGGCCATGAACCCTGACCTGTGCAGCCGCTCAGCCAGCCTCCCGCTTCGAGCCCCTGCAAGCGCCGTAGGTCTCCCAAGCAGCCCTGTGCTCCCGCGGGCTAACCCAGTAAGCTCTGCTCTGGCGCCCCGCCTCCAGCTCCCAGCTCCGCCCGTCTCCGCAGGTGGGTGCGGCGTGGTAGGCGGCACAGTGAGGATTGGCGCCGGGGTCTTCCAGGTCTGGCCCCGTGCAGTGCAGCCGGCTTCCGGGCTGATCCTGCTCCCTGATGTGTGGGCGCCGACCCCCGGCTCGCGCCAGAGGCCCTGCGCCGACATCCACCTCGTCTCTCTGGGAATTTGGTCTTTCTCACGGCCATCTTGGGTTCCTTGCTGGAAGGGGGGCCACCGACTTGCCCACTGGCTGAGTGCCAGTGGAGGACAGCCCTGCATCCTTGGTCTCCTGGAGTGGGAACAGGCTCAGGACCACGGGGACCGTCTGGTTTGCTCCCCCGCCCTGTCCTCCACAGTCCTCTAACCACGCCGCCCAGTTTCCTGCCTGGCAGCCTGGTGGGACTTTGGGGCCCGGACATGGCCGCGAGCTGCATCTGCCCAGTGTCACGCTGTTCCAGGCACAGGTGGGAAGGGCCTTGCTGACACTCCTGCTGGCCTCTCTCTCAGGGATGCTGGAGTATGAGCCGGCCAAGAGGCTTTCCCTGCAGCAGATCAGGCAGCACAGGTGAGTGCGGGCGCCAGGACCACCCGGCCACGCAGGGCAGGGCAGGGCGGGCGAGGCCGCCTCTTCCAGGTTCTCCCATGCTCAGCCCAGCGGCCACTGTGGGGTGCAGCCCTGAGCAGCTTTGCGGGACAGGGGATTCGACTCCCTTGCGGCCTTGTCTTTTTTCAGAGGTTTTCTTATGCATCAAAGAACAAGGGCACAGGCCAGAGATGTGGGGGTGAGAGGATTCCCCAGAGACAGAGTGGGGACAGAACAGGCGGGGTGACTGAAACCCACTGCTGAGGGGGCAGCGGGGAGCCAGGAGGGGTCTGCTGCGCCCTGGGGTCCCTCCCTGGCCGGGGGTTGAACTCGGGCTGCAGCCGTGGCAGCTGAGACTTGCAGTCTTGAAGGTCACTACCGCCAGAGCAGGCTGTGGGGTGGGCTGAGGGCACAAGGGAAGAGCCTGTCTGCTCAAAACCCCCCTCCAGAAAACTGGGCACAGTTGCGCGCCACCTGCCCCCCACACCATGGCGCCGCGTCCCCGCGGAGGCCCTGGCCGAGGAGGACGAGCCTGTGTCCGAGCTCAGGACCCGTGGGGCTCTGGAGGCGGGTGTGGCGTCCTGCTGGGGGCTGTAGGGCGAGGGCGGGCCGCTCTCCCTCCCGGCCCAGCACCTGCAGTGCAGCCGCGACCACGCCCCCCAGCTGACCCGCTGTGAAGAGGGGAGCGGCCAGGCGGGGTGCAGTCAGGGAGGCTCTCGGTCCCCCTCACCCAGTCTCACAGCCCCTGCCCTGAGGAAACCCCAAGAGCCCCCGCCTACTACTGGACAGAGCTGCCACCGCTTTGTCCAAGAGGCCAGGGTCGGCCAGGTCATGCCTGGCTTGGAGGAAGAAGAGCCGGAACTTTAGAGGTGGACAGGGGTTAGGCCCCAGGAGAATGTCATCGCGTGGCCCCCCCTTTTTGTCCCTGTTTCCCAGCTTGCTGGCTCGGGGACCGCTTGCTGCCGGTGTGTAAAGGGGTCTCCCAGGGCCAGCCCTTGCCGGTGGTGCAGGTGGGTGCCGCCACGCCAGCCTGTGCCCTCGTCAGGCCTTAAGAGTTGCCTAGGCTTGGATATGTGGGCGGCCCGTTCCTCCCCAGTGTTGAGGGGAGAGGCCTCAGTTACCTCTGGCCAGCTGGTGGCCTGGGCTTTTGTCCTTCCCCGGAAGTAGGCCCCGGAGGCCTCGGGGTTGAGCTAATGTCGCTGCATTTCGTGCTAAGCATTGCCGTCTGCTCCACCCCAGCATGGCGGCACGCGCAGTTTCTGGGCCCTCTGTCCTCTTGGGTGTGCTTATACTGAGGACTTTGGGCACTTACGAGGTGTGTCCTCGCCCCACAGAGGGGTCTCCAGGGCCTGTCGCCCTCTGACAGGCTTGGGTGGGGACTGGGGTCGCCCAGCCAGGACCTGTCCCCTCGGGCCTGTGCTGTTAGCGTGACTCCGGTGCACACTGGAGGGGTCGGCCTCACACGCGGGCGACGCCAGGTCCTGAGCGGCGCGAGGCAGCGGACCGGGCCGGGGAGGCGAAGAGGAGGCCGCCTGCCCACCGCGCCCGCCTGGGCGTCGCTGCGGCCTGGCCTGTCCACTCTGCGAGCAGCCCTGGCGCCTGGGTCCGTGCGGGGCGGGGTGCAGGCGCCTGGGCGCGCCTTCCGCTACCCGGCCATCCGCCCGCACTGGGGCAGGGTCTTAGCAGGGGCTTGGGCCGGCGACCGACCACCCTCCCTGTGCCCTCAGTTGGTTCCGGAAGAAACACCCCCCGGCTGAGGAGCCGGTGCCCATCCCCCCGAGCGCAGACTGCAAGGACCGGTGGCGCGGCATGACCGTGGTGCCGTACCTGGAGGACCTGCACGGCTGTGCCGACCAGGATGGGGACGAGGACCTTTTCGACATCGAGGACGACATCATCTACACTCAGGACTTCACGGTGCCTGGTGAGTCCCGACGCCCGGGCCCGGCGGCCTCCACGGTGACCGCTGGCCGGTGACCCCAAGTCCTCGGCTCTCGGGACGGGTTGTCCACCGACACTGACCCCGCCCCTGGAAGGGCCGCCCGCCCCACAGCAGCAGGCGGGGCCCCCTGCAGCAGGGGCGGGCCTGGCGGGAGGCCCCCCGACAGCCCCGAGGGTCCGGTGGCCCTCCTGCGCGCCGCCCCGCTGACGCTCGGCCTTGCTTCCCCAGGTGACGAGGCGGCGTCTGAGGCAGGGCTTAGAGAGGAGAGAGCCTCGCAGAAGAGCCAGTGCTCGGCCCTCCCTGGGCAGGAAGCTGAGGCCGGGGGCGTGGACGAGCTGGTGGAGGGGCTGGAGGGGAACCCCGGGGGGGCTCCAGGCCTTAGCGTGGCCCTGCCCTGTGTAGGCGGGCGCTGCCCATCCCAGGGCTCTGACTGACCCTGCCCGGGAGCTGCCTGATGGCCCCGGCCTGGGGTGCACCGCCTCTCCCTGCGCCCACAGCTCCCTTCTGTCGGGCGCTCTGCAGGTTCGCGTCATAAAGGTTTGCCCGCTGTGTGTGCAGGTGATGCTTGCCCCCCCCGCCCAGCTCCTGGCTGGCCGCGAGGCGTCATGGCAGGAAGAGCGCTTGCGGGCCGGGAGAAGAGGGGCCCCTGCCCGCGCGCCGGGCGCTGCCACAGCGGGGTGCTGTGCACTTTGTCCCTCGGGGCCGCCCTGGCGCTGCGCTGGCCGCCATCCACGGGTCCAGCCTGGCCCTGGCCCCGCTCGCTGGATTTGCCCCTTATTCCCGTGGAGGCCCGGCACCCCGGGCCCGGGGGCTGGTGTGTGCGTCCTGGCCCCGGTCCTGCCCCTGAGGGGCCGGGGGCGCCCGGTGTGGCTCTCGCGTGAGGCTGAGGAGGTGCTGCCGGGCTCCCGCTGCCGCCCTCCCTGGCCCCGCTTTCGGGTCCTGGCTGACCGCCGGTTCCAGGCGGCCCTGGGAGGGTACTGCGGCCCTGGGTTTCCCGAGTGGGACGGGCCCACCTGGGAGTGGCCGTCAGGCCTGAGGCAGGTCGCCGCGCGGGAGCTCTGCAGAGGGCTCTGTGGCCACTTCTCTGGCTTACTCCTAGGTCAGCACAGGCCAGGCGGGGCCAGTGCTCCTGCTCACGCCCAGGCCCTCACCTGCTGGGCCTTGTCTTCCTCGATTTGACCTCACGGGCAGTGTCCCACCGCCTGAGAGCCAGGCACCACGCCAGGGCCCAGGTGGACTGTGGCCAGCGCCCCACGCGCCTTGGGACGAGGGGCATTTCTGGTGCGGGCCAGCTGCCACTCGCGAGTGCCGGTGCTGGGTGCCCTGCAGGGCTGGCCCTCTTGGCCCTCCGCAGCAGGGCCCCACCCCAGCCTGGGTGTGAGCCCTGCTTCCGGGGTGGGGGCAGGTGCACAGCACAGTTCAGCTAGATGCTCCTTCAGACAGAGCCCTGGGGGTTGGGCAGAGGGGAGTCAGGCTCTGGCGGGGACTGAAGATGCGCCAGCAGGTGGCTCGCGCCCCCTCTCACCCCAGCTCTCCAGCTGTCCCAGGGAGTGAAGGGTGGCGCCACTGCGGGCCATTGCGGCCAGGGCCGATCTTGTCACGCCGTGGGAAGGCCTGTCCCCTGGCCTCCCATGCTCACAGGGCTCCTGAGGCGAGCCTTCCAGCTCTGGCCCTGTCCTGGGCCTCCGGGGCTGGCGGCCGCTGGTGATGAGGTGAGCAGCGGCCCAGGCGCCCTGGTGCAGCCCCTGGCCCGCACCGACCCTGCGGGCGTGGGAGGGGGCCGGGCTGGGCTCGGCATGGTCCCCACCAGCCCACACTCGTCCTCTTCCTCTTAGGACAGGTCCTGGAGGAGGGGGCCGGTCAGAATGGACAGAGCTGGGGCCTGCCCAAGGCTGTGTGCATGAACGGCACAGAGTCGGCCCAGCTGAGCACCAAACTGAAGGCAGAGCGCCGGGCCAGCTCCACCTCCAACCCCACCCGCAAGGCCTGTTCTGCCGGCAGCAAGACCCGCCGGCTCTCCGCCTGCAAGCAGCAGTGAGGGCAGTTGCCTGCAGGTGGGATTCAGGGGTGCGGGGTGGCGGGTGGCAGGGGGCGGTGGGGGCACGCCAGCAGGCCTGCCCATGCTCTGCTCTGGTCACTGTTGGGCCCGTTGCCCATCACAGCTGGTGCTGCCCGTCCAGTCCAGCCAGTCTTCACCAGGGCCTGGGGCAGGAGGGAAGGTCCCTTTTGACATTGACCGCCCAGTGGCCTGTCCTGTGAAACCAAGGGACTTGGCCCCTCCCTACACCCTGGGCAGGGAGATGCCAGACTCAGCATGGAGGCCCCAGCGGCCGCTGTGTGGGCGGACGTGGGGCGGCCCCGAGGGTTGGCGTGGGAGGTTGCCGGCTGCGTGGCGGGAGGCCCCTCCTGCTCTCCGGGCCAGGCCGGGCCCGGTCCGAGCGGAGACCCTGCACTGGCTCCGAGGGGCCACAGCCCGCCCTCCAGGGGGCTGCTCGCTGGCCAGCGTCGGCATCGCCTTCACCCGGCGGGTGGGCAGTTGCCCTGGAGGGTGCCTGCCCTCCACAGGGCCGGGCAGTACGGCCTCAGCTCTCCTGGTCGCTCCAGACACCTGACTGGCCCTGGGGCAGGCCTGACTGCCCACCCACCACTGGCCTGCAGGTTGCACGCTGCTGCCCCCGCAGTGACCGCCGTCTGTTCCCTCCGCAGCCTCTGTCCAGGAGCCCCGCGGGGGCTGCAGCCCTGGCCCTGCTCAGTCTTCCTGCCAC